GAGATCATGCATAATCTAACTTACAACGTGCATATTAATTACTCTTTTGTTACTTGCCTCTTTGAAAAACTAAAGATTATGCGATATCCAGTTACATTATAAATGGAATTACACATTCACAATTATACTAGAATTTCTCAGTTGGGTTCACAAAACAATCTGAAAAACATCAAAAAACATCATAGATTTATAGTTTTCTATATTAATATTCTTTATGTGTATATATATATATATATATATATATATATATATATATATATAGTTTTTCTAATATTTTATGATTTACCTATTAAAAGGGGATGAGTGTTTCAAAAAAATTGACGAGCTCGCTGAAATGAAAACTATAAGTGCTTATTGAAATAATATGTCGTTCAATTCAACAACTATGAAATTTTAAACCTCGATGAGTGATTTATTTAACATTGTATATAGATGCTAGACTTTAGACTTGATGTTGTCAAACTTAAAAACTTTTTTTTTTTAATATGATAAATTGCAAACCCGAGAAGGAATCTAAAAAACTGCTGTGCCCGTGGCAGTAACGAGTGCTTTAATCTACAGATGAAATTGGCAAAAGTTTTATATTAAAATTCTTAAATAAAAAGCCATGTTTGATGATAAAAACTTTTTTATAACTTTGTCAATTATTTGCGCAAATTAAGTTTTAAAAAATTTCAAACATATTGATTAAAATTACTTAAATTCTTTTAAAACTATTATGTTAATGTTCATAAATATGTTTCGTTTATATTAATCACGTCTTTGATCTAATAGTAAAAAGAAGAAGTAATCGTTATCTTTCACGATATAAATATAATTAGTGATAAATAAATACTTATTGTTAAGTAATTGATAGTAGAACTATAATCTATTGATTACTGTTTATGAACATGGTGCAGAAAATTATAAACAAATAAATCATTTAATTAACATAGAATTACTGTAAGGAAATTTTTGTTAATTATATTTTCCTTTATCTAAATATATATTGAATAGTAGTCGTATTATAATCCAATATAAACATTGATAATATATTATTATAGTAGTTATAAAATAAAGTAAATATTTCCACAGACCTAAATAAAAATCAAAATTTCGAATATTTTTATTTTTCTTTTTCTTTTAAATTTCTATTCATAAGGTGTTTCACAAAATTAATCGTCGAATAATAATAAAAAAATATAAAAATATAAATAAATTGACATAAATAATATATATATATATAAATATGACAATAAATAATTTATCTGCTTCGATATTAATAGTAAATGTTATTTAAAAACTAAAACGACACAATACGTAATAGAAAGTTAATAAAAACCCGTATAATAATAAATAAACCATATAAAAAATAAATTATTTATGAAGATTAAATGATAATTGGTGTAATAACATTATAGCTTCTTAATATGAATGAATTAATTAATTATTATGATTCAAAACATTTTTTAAATGTAATTCGTAAAGTTTCCAAAATATTAAAACAATTGTAAAATTAATTAAAATTTTAGTTAAATTTTGCATAGTTACATTTAAAAAGTACCATCTAAAGGCTGAACAAAAAATTGACGAACGTTGAAATAAAGAAAAATTATTACTTTGTGCAATATTTGACGCAATCTCGCGAAAATTACAGTTTAGTCATATTACTTAAGACTTAAATAATTGCCGACGAATCAATTGTACCTTATAATTTAGTGAAGTCCCAACCGCCCGTATTGCTTTTCTAATGAAAGTATTAGAAATATCATATAATTAATAATGAAGTCAAATTATTATTGTACATTAAGGAAAGCACGTGCTTCGCAATTTCTATGAATCTTAACAAATTCGTACTCTCTCAGCATAATTTCTCGCATAATTTCAGTACAGAATACGAAATCGCTTTCAATTTCAATGTTTTGATGAACAAAATGAAAGGAATCTAATTCTTACAGAACTTAATATTTTTATAAAGTAATTGTAATCCTTAAAGTAACTACAAAATAAAATATATTTTTAAGCTAATCGTAATATCAGAAGAGATTTTTATTGCAATGTAAAGTATATTAAACATATAAAATTACATAATCTATTAAATTACATATGTTTCTCAAATTATAAAATTGTATTTTTCTAAATTACGTATCATATACTTTATGTCATTGTACTCTTAACAAGAATAAAAAAATGATATATTTATAATGATTCTTAAATATTGAATGAAAATTGTTATTAACAATTGATATTTACTATTATGCATTAAATGCTAATTGACAACTTATACATTAAAATGCCTAATAAGTATATAAATAAATGATTACTTATAAATACATGAAATAATTATAGGTTAAAATATAAAGATGAATAATGTAATTTGAACTATTTAATATACACTTGCAATACAATAATAAAAATATAATTACTCCATTTAACCTAATAATATTTTAATGCGGTAGTAAAAAACTTTAACATATCATCGACAGAATTCATGGCTATCTATTATAATTTATAATTTCGATTTTTTTCAGACTACTTATATGTGGAACGTTTCATAGCTCAATTTTATAAAATATTACAGTTGATGAAACAGTACAATATTATCATACTAAAAAATATCTACCCTACGAATTTGGGCAAAAACTTTTGTATCAATTATTCCTTATTCCGCATTAAATTTAGAATGAAATTAGATTAAAAAAAATCTCCCTGAAGCATTTAATTTCATTATTAAATATCAATTTTAAGTGATTTAAAAACAGATATTTTAAAAAATTTTGCAAAACTTTACCCAAACATATCACGAAAACTAGTAATTTTTTCAAAAATAGTTTTCCAAATTATTCTTTTTTTGCTATAAGAACGACATCAAGATTATATTGTCAAACCCCGTAATAAAATACTTTGGTTAACATCTCGAAAATATGACATATCACAGTACTTTTCTAACAACAATGCTTTATTGTTGTTTCATTCGTTAAATTTTGTTTTATAATTACATCGCTTTAAAAAGCATTAAAGTAGGATAGTATTTTATTTTATATATTATCTTTACCCATTACTACCCATTTTTGCTACGCTGAAATTAATTAATTAATAATTATTAATTTGTACACATGATATTTATGTTATTTAAGTCCGATTAAAATCAATCATTACCAACCAACTAATGGCGCATCAATATTGAAATAACTATCAGCCAGACGACGTAATGATCATAAAATGGCTTAATGACCGCGACAGATACATGCAACGAAAATGCCTCAAAAAACCATTAGGCGCAGTTTCATTGATGCCATTGTAAGAATGTTAGTAATGCTAGTAAAAACTAAATAGTTATGAAAGAAATATTGTATCATTTAATTACCAATAACATACTCATATCGCTTGTTTGACTACATTATATTTAACAGATAAGCTATGCCAAGTTTTAAAATCAACTCAGCTCAATCTTATATTTTTTCTGTAAAGGATATTTCATAACAACTTGGAACACAATAATGATATATTTTAGCGCACCTAATTCTGGGTAGACAATTATATTAATCAACGCACTCAAATGCTTTTTTACATACTTATCAGTAAGACTTATAAAGCCTAATGTATTATAAATAATGAAATACTTTAAATTCTATTAGATAAATGTTCTCGCGAGCTTATTAAAATATAAATTTTAAATAACTTCTTGAGCTCCTTTTTGTTATTATTCAGATCTTATATTTCTATATTTTTACAGATAACTTTTGTACTTCCCATTTACTTTTCTTCAATAGCAAAACTCTAAAATAAAAAAAAATTTATTACGAACTAATTTTTTATTACAATATAATTTATAGATAGTAATTACATTCTTTATGTGTTGCTACTTGTGTTTTTGTTTTTGCATTTGCTCAATTATTTACAAGTTGTAGAAACTAACCAAATTTAATAAACATTTATTAAAAATAATTGATTACGATATAGCTTATGTTAACTTATACTTCATAATCTTAAACACTTTACAAAGAATACTAAAAAAAATATTGGTCATTCTAAAAAATAAACAGTTGCTTTGAACATAGAGAAACTAGATCTTGCACAATTCCAAATATGGAATGGTAGACCTTAAAATGAAAATATAATTTAATTTGACAGATTTTTTAGATTCCAATGTTAAAATAGTATTTAAAGAGATAAAGATTCTAGATAAATGCTTTAAATAGACTTTTTATTACATTATAAAAGAAAAATCTTTGTTTTAAATTTCTGAATTTTCTATAAATGTTTTTATATAGAAACGAATATACCGCTTGAATAAATCTATCAAGGGAATCAGATTGCTCTAGATAAGGGACTTTTCATATAATAAAATATAATAAAATAAAAAGCAATTAAATATTACTCGATGCTAACAATTTTTATGTTAACCATAAAAATATTAATTATATCTTATATTATAATATTATCTTGATGTTAATTATAACAATTTTGTATGAAGTCGAAGCAAATAAAATTGAATTGAAATGATATTAAACGAAAATCTTTTGTCAAAAAATAAGTTCAAATAAAGTAGTAAATATTGAATTATTAAATAGTTATATTTTTATTTTATTTAAACGCTTTTTACATATTATTTCATATTTTTACTTTAAATATGTAAAAAAAGTTGCCGATAATTTAAAAATTCAAATATAAATAAATAATCGATTTACATATATAAAATTATCAATATCAATATTATAATGAATCACCAAAACTCAGCATCACTTAAAGCCTTAAACTTAAAGCGTGAAACTGAAAATTATTATTATTTTCATTGATTTTATGGTAAAATTGAACAGATTTCTATATTATATCAAACTGTTTTATATAAACAATTTTCTATAAACAAAACTTTAAAATAGTAGAATGTTGCTTTAATGTGTGCAATTTTCAGTAAGCCAAGTAATATTAAAATAATTTCCTAATTATCATTTGCATTCTTCTTTATCGACGCATCGCTCGTACAGTTAAATATTTTATAATCCCACGCACGCTAGCGACTTTGTCTGAAATAATTTGAGGTTATGTCACCTTGTGTACATTTATCTGTGCATGCAAAAATTGGCGCTTAAAAGACAAAATTTTTAATAGAGATACATTTAAATATCTTACAAAGTAATTTAGATAATTTCATTTGAAAGATGGATGATGAAGCAGAAACGTACAAACTTTGGCGGATCCGCAAAACGGTGATGCAACTCTGTCACGATCGAGGTTATCTTGTTACCCAGGATGAATTGGATCAAACGCTTGAGCAATTCAAAGAACAGTTCGGGGATAAACCTAGTGAAAAACGACCAGCGAGAAGCGACTTAATCGTATTAGTGGCTCATAATGATGATCCCACAGATCAGTTATTCGTTTTCTTTCCAGATGAGCCCAAAATTGGTATTAAAACCATTAAAACTTACTGTCAGCGAATGCAAGAAGAAAAGATTCATAGGTAACAATTGTGACATTATATTTTCATTCTACATTTTTCAGTTTTTAAATATCTTAAACATCTATAGGAAAATAAAACTATAAATTTATACAAGCAATTTTTCTAAAACTAATTATATTATTAAATATAATTATATACTGAATATATTATTGTATTATTGTTTTAAAATTAATGATTGAAATTCAATTTGAAGATTTTAAATTGAATCATACATTATTTTTAGGGCTATTATTGTTGTACAATCAGGTATGACCCCATCAGCAAAACAATCATTGGTTGATATGGCACCAAAGTACATTCTAGAACAGTTTTTGGAATCTGAATTGTTAATTAATATCACGGAGCACGAATTAGTACCTGAACATATTGTTCTCACTCCTGATGAAAAGGAGGAACTTCTAACTAGATATAAGCTCAAAGAAAATCAACTTATGCGTATACAAGCCAATGATCCAGTTGCCAGATATTTTGGATTAAAAAGAGGACAAGTTGTTAAAATTATTAGACCTTCCGAAACTGCTGGACGTTATATTTCTTATAGACTAGTGTGTTGAGTGATAATTGTTTTTATTTTGAAAACTAATTTAAATCATATGATTTGAATAATTATGTTATATAAAATAATCATAAATTCTTTTCATATGATTATATATATATATATATATATATATATATATATATAATTGGAATTTCCATGAATTTAAATATTTCTAAGTTAATGAAAAATAAATCAAAAGACATTAAGATAATTTATAAATGTTTATATTATTATAGATTATTTATTAATCACATTTCACATATAATTTCGTAATAAATCTATATATATATAATATTAACTCCTCTGACTTAATATGGATAAAGTAATTTTTTAAGTTATAAAATATTTAATATAAAAATAAAAATAAAATTTTCAGTTTTAAATTCAGAAAATTATAAAAAATTTACTTCTTTCTTATTTCTTTTTTTTTCATTTTTCTCTATAATAAACTCATATAAAAGTGTAGCCACTTTTGAAACTATGAAAAATAATTTGAAAATAATACCATTTTCGTAAAATTATATTTCAAATATGTAATTTGGAACTAAATGAGTACAGAGAAAGTCATGATCTGCAATAAGAGTTTATTATATCATCATTATATTCATAATACATGACTTGAGATATATGACACGAAACTAAAAAAATGTTTTGAGTACATATAAGCAACTATTTCTTTATGAAAAATGAAGAAGAAACTAATAAAATATGATGAAAGATACTCCATTTTTACTATACATTTTTGGTCCAAGAATTATTTCAATATTGACATGTCAATTCCAGTTAGTTGCTAAGATTCGTTTCTACTTAATATACACTTTAAGATATAATTTATTTCTACATAGTGCTTTTCATTTGTTATTTTACATTAAGTGAAAATATTTGAAAGTAGAGAGAAAATTCTAATATATGCTTTTTTCAGAATGACTTGTACTATGTACAGGATACAGCAAATCTATTTCACTATTGTAATTTAAATTCTCTTTAGTATACTTGCGCATGATTACGAATAGTCAATCAATTTTTCAAAATAAATTTATTTGTCTTATTTTATGATAATAAATAATATGAAATATGCTATTTATATTGCTTGTCATATAGGAATTAAATAATTAATAATGTATTCCCTATGTAGCTTTATTTAAATAAGTTGCAAGTAAATATGATTAAAATATAATAAAAATTATTCTTCTAATTTCCATGTAAATAATATTATTTGTTGTAAAGTAAAGATATAAAATACTAATTAAAAGCTGTTTTTTATTCTTATTCTTGGATATAAATGATGCAAACTTCAATAAGATTTAATAGAATGACAAAAAATTTAAATATAAGATATTAAAATTTATTTTTCAATTCTATTGTATGACTCGTTAAAGCAGCTAAGATAAACTACACTTGTTGCTTTTAATATTTTTCCAAACTTGTTTATTTTTGTTTCAGTTCGAAATATTTTTCATTAGGAAAAACGCATTGAAAATAATTAGAAAATGTATTTGATGTTTTAAAATATTGATTTTTTTTAAATACTAATTCCAAAGCACCATACATTGAACACATTGCATTGCATGGGATAAAATTTTTAAATAATTTCTAAGTGCCATTGAAACTACGGCGCTTATTTTTTCCAGTAGCCATTTTTATTACTTATTTTCTTTATATCTCGAAAAATCATATGAAGAAACTGTCATTTACGCATTGTCGACATAGTTCATTTTTAACAGAAAAACATTTTTCTTAATTTTTCCTACCTCGATTTAATAACCCTTAAACTCTACATGCAATCTTTTTTTTGATAAATTGTTATTATTTTTAATTATGTTTTATTACATCCAAGGATTTTATTAGGTCCAAGTTCATAATGAAAAGAAGGAGACAAGATATATTCATACAATTAATATAATATATTGATATTAATAAAATGTAACATAACGCAATAATAATAATAAAATAATAATAATAATAATAATGATTATTATTATTACTTAGTAAAGGGAAGGCTTTAAAAGGTATAATAGCAGCATGATTCAGCATAATGTAGAGGGTAACACATAGTACAAGTACATAGTTCAAGAATAAAACAATGCATAAAAAAGAAAATGTACAGTATAACAATGTCATTGACGTAGATGTAGTGTCGAATTAATAAGAACAAAGAAAGATATAAAGATTACTTTGTATGAAAGATTTAAAAAATGAATCTAATCACTTTACAAATAATGATAGCTATGTTTTATCTATTACAAACTCATTTACATCTTCCAACTTTGTGATGTATTATTACAAAAAAAAAGTTTCTCTTAAGTATCTACGAGTGTAAAACTGTTGATTCATATATCATATTTGAAAAAGAAAAAAGCCAGTATTTAGTATCACTTATTATTTCATACTTATTTTTATAATATTTAAATAAATACCAAGTTTCTTTTAGTGAAAGTTATTTACAATTTATGTAACCATACATTCCCATTTATATACCAGTAAAAACTTTATAGAAAATGCTCCCTAATCTAATAAATTTTTTTCAAAAAATTATTTTACAAGCAAAAACATAATGCCACTTACATAAAATAGATTTATCAAAAACAATTTTTAACATAAGCTTATAGAGATTCTAAATCACCTTGTTTTGTTTAATATTAAAAATCAATATTCAAAATATGCAAAAAGGTTGTAAGTAACAAATACTGGAGAAACTGTAGTAAAGAAAAATAGTAGTATACAATAGGCTTTATTATAAAATTGTCGCTTGAGATCGATTACTGTAATATTTCATATTTCTTGTAAGCTCACATTCAACTTTGAATATTCAAATAAACGACAGAGAAACAATATAATTGTACATTTGAATCATAAGAATGAAATACTTGGTTTCTATTTAATCATTTGAAGTTCAATTACTACAAATGTTCATCATGGACAACACTACTAATTAAAATGCAAATTTTGCACTTTCAACTTACAAGTTCCGTACATGCTTATATATATATATATATCTATATATATATATATATTATCGACGTTATTATTACAGAGAAATTTCTTTTACCACGGCTTACACAGATAAAACATATAATCAACGCAAGGCAATTGTAAAATTGCACTTAATCATTAAAGATTTACGCCTTTTTTTTTAAACTTGCAAGAAGAAATATTTTACAGCGACTTATATTTGTATGTGTTAATATGTATAATAATAATGATAATATTAATATTACTAATAATAATAATAATATTAATAATAATAATAAGTTGTAGTAAGATTAGTAACAGGGGTAGTGATAGTATTGTAGTAACAGTGTGGTAGTAATGGTATCAGGAATAGATGTAGTATCAGTATCAGTATCAGTAGTAGTAGTAGTAGTAGTAGTAGTAGTAGTAGTAGTAGTAGTAGTAGTAGTAGTAGTAGTAGTAGTAGTAGTAGTAGTAGTAGTAGTAGTAGTAGTAGTAGTAGTAGGATAGTATTAATAAATGAGCTCAATCACGGAAGTCTGCATTTTTCCAGGCCAGTACCAGCCATTTATATAATAATTATTACTCTAATTTCTTTTTAAAAATATGTCCTAGCACTGCAGTATAAAGTCGATTCGATTTCTCACAAAAGCAACATTATTTTAGAAAATTCAACAATTTTCTTATTATTCGACATCTGACAAATTAAATTAACCCTTTTAATAAACCAGACGTCGGGCATCAACCAAACAATTCAATCAAGCATTTTTAAGCTCATATTCTGACATCAATTATTGATATTTTTTTACATTTACTTTCTTTCTCGTTCAAATTGACATCTTATGTAAAAAAATCTCTTGTAGACATCAATTCAAATAAATAGATATTTTCACGGCATGATTAAGTGAAATATGACTTTTAATACTTGTATATTGTAAAATTATACAGAGGCGTTTATTATTTATAAAAAACGTGGATTCAACTTTTTTAACTTTCTAGAATTTCTACTAGCGCGTTTTATGTAAAATTGTCAAAAATTGCTAAAAATAAGATTATAGATCGTAATTGAAATATCTAAAAAGCTACGAAAATAAAAATTGTAGATATTGTATAATTGACTGTAGGCTTCCCTCGACCAAATTATAACTCATAATAAGCATAATCAATTTGTACTTCTAATACTACTTTAAACACTTATTTAATACTCGAAATATCTTAAAACTAAACAAAAATAGAAATAATACATAATTGAATTACTCAGTCGATGCGTATAGATGCGTAGCTCTTCACAAAAGTATTGGGATGTCTAGGAGTCCCATTGTCGCCGATAATAATAACGGAGATGGAAGTTATTCTTTCGCAATGGCTCGCTCTCTCTTTATCTCTCTCTCTCTCTCTCTCTCTCTCTCTCTCTCTCTGTATCTCGCACTCTATCTATCTATCTATCTATCTATCTATCTATCTATCTATCTATCTATCTATCTATATATCTCTTTTTCTTTCTTTCTCTCTCTCTCCCTCTCTTATCTATGCATAAAGTATAGGCAATAATTGTTCTATACATAACGAATTTCGCGTAACTTAAGAACAAAGCGAAGACAGAACAAAGAAAAAGTACAGTTGCTTTGGAGATTCCTATTAAAGCATTTTTTCATTCTTATTACAAGCACAGAGCATTAAACACCATCCCGTGTACCCTAGTTTTCGTGATGTAAAAGTTATGAAATGGCTTGCACGCGGTCTTGGCTTATGAAAGCTCAGAAACTCTTCGGTATAAACGAGCACGTTCAAGGCCAAGTTTAAGTGCCCGTATTTTTTTAATGGTTTACTCAGTCAGTGAAAGCAAGGCTGCTGTTGTGCTTATTTCTCTTTCTTTTTTCTTTTTTTTTCAACAGATCACGAGCCTCCGCCACGAGCATGTCTCATTGGCCTGGAGGATCCTGTTGGTATATTCCGCTTTGAATCCGTTACTCTTGATTGCGAGCACGAAGATCTGCTGGCTGGCGTGACACCTGCCATCTCGATCGCAGAACCTCTGTAATAAATATCAAATCAATCATTTATTGGCGCAAAAGCTTGGGGTTATGAGAGTGACTAAGTGATAGGCCGTTCAAAATAGCAAATGCGTTCGATCATAAGTAATCGAGTTACCATGTTAAACGAATCTTCGAGTAAAATTAAAATTATTTTAAAAGCAAACTCGTGACTAAATAGTGAAATAACCAATACTAAAGCAATATTAAAATTAAGTGTAACGTTATGCATCGTTATCCTTTACTGATCATCTACTATTAATATCCATCACTAGTCATTAGTTTTCAATTTAAAAGTTTATCTGCGCCAATAGATTCTTTACTAACAGTCGGTTATATATTATTTCTTATTCTCGAACGTTCGCAACTTTTTTTTACCGATCTTTATACAAGATCAAATATATGATTAGATCGGTGATTATCATTATATACTTTTTCTCCAACGGTATATTCAATATTGTTAAATTCATTATACAATATTTTTCGCTGGTCGAATATTTGAGTATAAAAAACGCAAAACATTTTGACGCTTCCAAGCAAAAGGCGGATAATATGTAAATTTAATTTTCAATAAACAAATAGTTTAATTCATATTATTAATCTTGATATTACCACTGCTTGGAAACGAAATATCGCCATTTTTCGAAACATCACTACTACTAATAATGATACAGATAGATCGCAAGTAAGACACCTGACTCCTCTTTGTTCAAAGAAAATAAAAATATGTTCATTGCACTACAATTTTAACGTTCTCAATTTTTTTCTCTCTCCCATTTTGGGTTAAACGAAAAAGTTTGCATTATTTCATCCTAATTTACGATACTTCTTATCTAAGCGGTGTTCGAAAACAACTAGAGCGACGAATATTTATATAATCTGAATTGTTAAACAAGCTAGCCGTGCGCTCCATAATCTACAATCGCACGGCACAAACAATTGCCCACTCAATAACAGCAATGAACGGCAACGTTCTCACATTTCATCCAGCTAATCATTTACGTTATCGACCGCTGTCGTATCTCGTTGACATTTTCCCAGGCACGCGATCACGGGTGCACGATATCCCAGCACTACCGAGATATCAAGTGCTCGATTTTCCACACGCATTATTAATCACGATTATCAGATTTATTGTTTGCTGAGGTCGACCGAGCGGCGTTTATATAATCCTACTATCCGCGAGTACGCAGGACGAACGGTAAATGAAAAAGGAACGCGATGAACCCGAAGCTCGGAGATGGACTACTCGGAGATCCAGCGTCGTCTCTCACCTAGGAGTGATATGGAGTGACGTAGGTAGATGGGAAGAGTCCTCGTCGATTGCCGATCTCGCCGTGCCACCAGTGCTGATCCGTGCGATCCGTCACGGTTATTACATCACCTCGCCTGAACTCGAGCTCGCCCGGCTCCTGGGGCGTGAAGTCATAAAGGGCCTGCACCAGACACTGAAGCAAAACACTGCCATTAAGCGCACGAACATTAAGCTTTAAGAATTGGGAAGAGCGAAAAGAGACTAGTAAATTATTAGACGTAATTCCGTGTTAAAAAAAATAAAAGAATAAGTAAAGAGAGAGAGAGAGAGAGAGAGAGAGAGAGAGAGAGAGAGAGACAGACAGACAGACAGACAGAGTCCGAGTATAGTCGGGAAAGTGGCGACATAACCAAAACAGAGGTATGTAGGTACATATGGTACGTTTCTTAAGGCGATTAATGGAGTTGTTGATATGGTTTTAAGTGTTTCGCTAATGAGTAATAAGCTTAGAGCATATTGTAAGATATCGCTTCGGTATTTTTCATAAAAAGTATAACGATAAAAATATTATTAGATTAAAAATACGACGATCTTTAAAACTAGTGGTAAGACTTTTAAATAACACAGGAAGGTTTGATCTTTGATTCTCTGTAGCGACTTGACGGGTCTACAAAAAAGTTTAGTCTAAGTCCTATAATAATTGAATTTCCAATAATTTTGAAATTTACGTATTTATTTTACGATAAAAAATAATTCTGATATATGAAATATAAATGGTGTGCGCGCGCGCACTTGTGTTATTTAAGAAAAGAAAAATAGGCAAAATAAGAGTGAAGAGAAATAAATAATCGCTTAACGCATGACAAGCAGTTCACAACATTCCAATTTACTGTTAAAGTATGTCTAATTTTAAGAATCTCTTAATCATATATAATAAAATGAACGAAGTCAAAATACTTGCATACAAATTCTTTAATAATAATTAGATAGAACAAGACTTAGATTTAGATTACAATATACCATATGTCTTTAGCGTTTGTTTTTTCAAACTATTCAGGATTGATGCATTTTAATGTACTTAATACGAACACTCGTTATTATTTATTCATTTCATTATTCATTTCATTATTAATTCCACTATTATTTGAATGTTATGCGAGAACCACCAGTTAAACGAAAAAAAAAGAAGAACTAGGTTCGATGCAAAATTCAGTAAAATAAGGGGAGCCTCGTTCCATCAGGAGCTCGGAAAGTTTCTGAACGTGTTGCAATTAAACGATTTCTTAGCGCGTACGCGTGTGTTACGACAATTCAAGGCCACGATCGTATTGGCGGCGGCACACTTTCGTAATTGCGCGATTCGCGAGATCGCTGCCTGTAATTGCACGCGCCGGTTCTATTTTTTTTCTACTTTTGTTACCGCGTGCATTACAAAATTTAATGTAACGTGATTCGCTTTGGCGGGTGTGTCGATTGAACTTGCCAACAAGGAATATTTATTTTACTTTGAGCTAATTACGGCTAAATCACTGATCATTTTCATACACATTTTTATATTTTACATGTAATTCAATATTACAGGTACGCTATATCTATTTAAAATTTACTTGCAAAATCAGATTTATATTTCTATTTCTAAGTCAATTTGCGTAATATCTAAAAGACTGCATATTTTAATACAAAATTAAAAAGCACAATGCATAAACTTTTGCATTGACTAAAATAATTAATCATAATAATGTAACGATACATCCAGTATTTATTAATTACTTTTTTTTAAGCATTTAATTTCTTTAATAATTATCTTCTGCGTGGCATCGTTGAAAACTCCAACATATTCATATTTATATTAAATATAACTACATATTATATTACTTTGCATTATATAATACGCGACGTATATATCCATTATTTATTTTGAAAATTATCACTTAAAACAATTTTCACATAAAAGATAATTAAAGAATAAATTTTAAATAAAAATAATATTTATTAGCTTATTACTTCAATATTTCGTTATTTATTGAAACAAAATTTTTAATTTCTACATTGCCTTATAATAGAATTTGTTTTTCAATTTTCTTAATTTATGATAAATATGATTAAATTTGAAATTTCTAAATATCAGTGTATTAATTTGGATTATAAATTCACACAAAATAATTTCACACTGCAGTAATATTATAATTTATATGGTAATATTTTATATAATATTAACTGACCTATTAGATAGAACAATTAGTTTTAAATGAAGAGTTCATGTCTAAAGAGACTTCGGTATTTTTACATTATTATCAACAAAATAAAATTTAATTAATGGTTAAACAATTATTGAAAACATTATTATGAAAAATGAATGCCTAATCTAAAAAATTAGCCAAATTTTAAGCAGACTCGCATTTTTAACAAATATTAATTAGTCTCAAAAATTGACTCTTTCTTTCTAAATGTTCCATCAAATTTTCTCATATATTTACCTCTTCTGGTACCATATCGCGCAGTTTGACGTCCTGGGAACGCGACACCGAGGCCGTACGATGATACTCGACGAGCTCATTCAGACTACTGAACTTAACGACCCAGAGGAAGAATTTGCCCTGGGCGTCCCGCAGGACTTTAAAGTGCTGCACACCATCCGAACATCTGCGAGTGAAGGGTTTAATTAGTGAGGGTAAAAAGTTAATCAGCAATCGTTTTTTCCTTTTGATAGACGCGCTCGTGAATCAGAGGAAAACGTTGCAAGACTTACAATAAAATAATGAGATGAGTCGATTCAAATGTAGAGTGTATTTTACAATCGAATAAAAGACTTTCTTATCCGTCTATAAAAATACATTCCACTCTAAATTCTCATATTTCGAATCAATTGCTAATAAATTATTTGACATTCTGGAAATTTATGAATTTACAGAGCTTGAAACATATAATAATATTAGGCAATTAACTCAAAGCTAAACATTAATATTGATATACTTATTGTTTTATTTTTACGAACAAAATTTTACAAACTTTTTCTTTTACATTGAACTGTCGTGTCACAAAAATTATAAGTATTAAACTTCTATTATCCAATACCCTTTCAATAACAATTACATTATTATTTTAGTTTTTAATAAAAACGATTTATTATTTTCGTTTAATTATAACAGTAACATCCGTAAACTAAAACTTTGATTTTTACTGCATTTCTTTTTAAAGACAATGTAAAATAAAGTTTCTACTCTTTCAGTAAAGCATCGAATTTTACTGCATAAGAATTAAAACATTTATCCAGGACACGCTTATAAATAAGAAAGTGGGCCTTATTAAAGTTAACGAATATGCCTCATAACAGATATAAAAATTTTCACATAAGTATTTCTTACTTGACAGATAAAGAAAAATCGCCGGGAGAGCTTTCACTGATCCTAATGAGGAAAGCGCCTTCGTGTTTGTTCATTAGTAGCCTTTCAGCATCAGCTCTGGTTATCCTTCCATAATACCAACTAAAATTGGTTATAAATGTTTAATATATAGATTTTGAACAAAAATTTGTATACTTTATCAAATACGAAGTTTAAAATAGGCGTTACGCAAATCTTTAATGCGTAAATTGTATTACTCTATTTCGATATTTTAAATGCATGGTAATTGGAATAAATCGTACGGAGTAAACACAAATATTTAATGCAAATAATAAAAATTCGTATATCTTTTAAATTACACGAATTCACATTTAAAAAAATCAACAACAATAAACTACATATATAAAAAGTCCGTTTCACAGAATACAAGTAGAAAAAACTACTGCTTCTGAATTTCACGGATTACACGGATAAATACATTGGTTATATATTTTTACAAAAATTGATCTTTACTTTAATGAATAACTTTAAATATCTTTTCGTAAACTAAAAGTAAATGCAGGAACTTACTCATGATTTTTCATTTCTATATAATTACTCGGTATTAGACCTTCTCTAGAATCGAGCTCTGCTCTATACCAATTCATGTCGTCCTCCATATTGAGTATCTATAATAAAGAATTAACATATATATATTATAAAAACGTATAAATTGAAAAGTGTTAAACTTTACATAGGTATTAAAAGAAAATATATGTTTTAAATAATTTTCAAATTGAATAGTTGCGAAATTAAAAGAAGTTTTGGAATAAACAATCTGAACCTATCAAATTTCCATCAAATACATTGCTTAATTACAATTATAAATTAATATATATTATTTTTCCATTTAATTATTTTATCAAATTCTTTAGCATGGGTTAAATGTAAATTTGACAATATACGGTTGCGTAAAAATTATTAATAGACTTTTATTTTAATCAAGATAATTTCAAATTAAAATCAATATGTAGAGCCACTATACTATTTAAGAAGCAAATATCAAAAGAAAGATAGTTTAATAAAACTATATGTTGTGACGAAAGGCATAATTAATGATATACAATTTATTTCATAGCTGCAATATACATTAAAAAGAAATTGAATTGAATTTATTTAAAGCATTAAGTGCATACTATATGTATATAAATGTAAATATCATGTAAAATATATTCAATTAAATTATTATGCATAATTTCTAATCAATGTTTCTAATCATATGTTTATCTAAATAAATTATAAATAATCATATCAAGCTCATTAGCATAATATACTATTATTTATCAGCACGGTTATTTGTTATTATGAGCACTATTATTTGGAAGTGTAAAACATAGAAGATGAAATTAAATAAAAACTAATCAAAACTTCGCAAGACTTTCAAGCAGCAATAAATTATTTAACCAAAAAAAATCGTTTGCCATTGGTACTCCCGAGTCCAGTTTGGATATATTGCTATACAAATTCGTCATTTTAACACAATGTATATTTATATTGTACAAGGCTATTATATAGCACATGTCTGCAATAATCGAGATATTGGATAGAGAAGGTATCGATGAATCGTGGTGCATGTCACCCACCCTATTTACAAAATACACGGCTTTCATTTGCTAAGTACGCAATGACGTCACATTTGCAACAAATTTTTTGTTCTTAGTTCTGACTTTGGTGAGTCCGACCTCATCGGGCTATTGATTTCTCAATACATTGATCACGATCTATCAGAAATTTGTTAAAAACAAATAAAATGTATTATATCTTCGTATGAAACTTCAAATAAATTCCTTATGTTGCTTTAGCAATTTATTCACTTTTTACTGTATAAATTTAATAATGAATTTTAATACATTTTTGTGCGTCTTTCAAATATAATACACATGCCCGTTCCATTAAATGTGTATGTATTTTAAAGCACATTTTATATATACAAAACGAAAACATGTTTTTCACTGATTGTTAGTCTATCAAAATGAAATTGACGTCAACATAATTAATAACAATTAAAAATATTTTTCTTAATCCTATGACTCCAAATTAAATGGAATTTCTTCCGTTTATAAATTTATAATATATATATATATAATATATTTATAAATATTTATAAATGTACATTAATAATAAATAAAATATATCAAAATATTAAACATTAATATTTATATATAAACGAATAATTACTGAAAATCAATTTATAACTTACAAATTTTTATATTGAAATAAAAATTAAAATTCTTAATTTGTTACAAGCTTGACATTTAATACTATAAAATCATAAAATTACTAAATAATCGATCTATTGATAAATTAGTTGTCTAATAATAGATATTTCTAAATTAGTGTAATTTGTATTTTAAATTTTGTGTTATGTTATAATATATTGACTTAGAAAATTAGATTATATAGCATTTCTTAGTTTCTTGGGGGATTATTTTTTTATTAATAGCAAACCCATATTTACATTACACTGTGTAATAAAATATAGCAAAAAAAAAAATTACACCAAGCTTTTGTTAATTTCAATTTTGTTTAATTATATTTATAGCTATCATAAAAAACATAAAAGTTTAAATAAAATCTAATAAAAGAGCGTATTCTAATTCTTATTTACTCAATATTATGAAATGCACAAATACAGTGATAAAGAAAAATGTCATTTATCAACTTTTGTAATAATTTACGTTACTCGAAGTAAATAAATCATTAAATGTTCGTTCATGCATGCATCAACAAATTTTTATATTAGCAAGATATATTTATTGAAATTTAAATATCGACTGAATTTCTCAGACGTGAGTTACAAAGTAAAGCCAACTACTTATCTCATAAATAATCGAGGTTTTAAAAATTGTAACTACAGAAACGACAAGTTCTTTTACTTCAAATAATTATCAAATAATATATTATCCCTAGTTAATAATATCGTATACATTTATTTATTTAGCAACAATTAAATATTTACTAAACTTAATATTTAAAAGCAAAATTAATAGAAATTAAAAATAAATTTGGTTCCATAATAAAAAAACACTCATACCGATTTTGACAATACTGTTTGATAAACAAACGGTGAATGAAAGTTTACGATAGGTAGAGAAGGATTTGATTCATAACATAAAAACATCAACATCGTACAGTACGATAGAGAAGATTTAAAGATTAAAATAATTGTATACGAGGTACTTTAATCTCTTTTGGCATTTATATAAAAATTAATAATTAACAAATTCAGCAAAAAATGAATACCAAAAGTTAAACAGAATGCTAAATTCTAAATAAATCTTCAACCTTTTCAACTATATTTTGACTACTACTATTAATCATTTATAAAAACATTTATAAAACCACTTATAAAGCAAAAATATGCCGTGTATATGCAGAATTTTATACAATTTTCAAATAAAAATGATGAAAAAAGTGTTCTATTATGTGTACTATTATAGATATAGCAGCACAACTTAGAATTTAAATCGATCTAATTAATATAATTCTCTCATTGAAATTAAAATCATATTTCTGACTCTTACAAGTGAGTAAAATTAAAATCAATTATCATGTACGTACATACACAATTTCAGTATTAGGGAAATAATAAAGCACTAGATCAAATTCAGCAATTCTCTTTTAGCGATGTACTATTTACTAAAATTTTCAGCAAATATTAAATAATAATAGCAATTATCCAATTAAGTAATAATTCATAAGAAGTCTATAAATAGTCGAAATTTTATCTTTTCTATTCTAACCGTCAAACGGATAAACTTTAATATTAAAACATCTATAATTAGAATAACAGCAGCTGATTAAATATTATTAATTCTGATGATAGTAACAAACTTCAAGCATTTTTAAGAGTTCATTTAAATTTTCTTATTTAATTCTTAATTTAATTATAAACCATTATTCAATGTGATGAAATATTTTTATACATGACTATACAAAAAAAATTAATTTCATACTTAACAATTACATATTTCAATTACATGAATAATAAAATTAACGTATAAACTTACTTGACCTATCAAATCTATCACACGTAAAAATATTTAAAAGAAATAATAATTTAATAATAGAATGTAAATCCTATTTGAATTATTAATTTTTGTGTAACAATTTGTAGAAAAATAAACAAACTGATATATGATAATGCTGTTTAGGCGTTGTAAAGAAATGAAATAATGAAATTATAAAATCAATTTTAAATCATGCGACTCCAAGTGATGTATATAAATGGCAGATGAACCAGATCAACTCAAAATTTATGGAACGATCATTCGACGATCGCATGATGAAAAAAAAATGGAAAAAAATAACACAAGTGCAAATCATTGTAAGCGAGGGCAGAGAAGGTTCGAGGCACGATTAAATATCCAATTCGCAATCGGTCTTCCCATCGCAAATTCAAGATGTTGATTGTTCGCAAAAAAGGCATTATAAAGTCTTGTCATACGCTTGCAGTTCAATTCACTGATTTTACATAAAAAATCACCGGAACTTGTGCTTTAGAAAAATTCATCTTTTCTTTTTTTTCAATGCAGAAAAAAATATTCAAAAATTTTTTTTATCTTAAACGAATATCTTATGTTCGCGAAAAATTCAAGTTTACAACGTCGGGACAGGAAACACACATTTCGCTTTTCTTTTTTTTCTCTATAAGTGCGTTCTTATGATAATAAATGAGAGCGAAAGCGCAATAAAATATTTACTCTAATATATTAGTGAATAATCTGAATAATTTATATGTTTATATTTTTATTTTCAAGCGCTGCTAAGCACTTGTTTAATATTAAATTTATATTTTTGCAGGATTTCAATTATCTAAAGAAGCCGTATGCAATTGATGCCGAGATGAAATAAAATATCAATTTATAATTGTCGCTAAATGAGAAAATTTATCACTATTAAATATTCTTGACGAAAATGACTTTACGAGGATATTTTATTGCAAATGTTAATGGGAAATAAATACTTTAATTAACATTCTATTAAATAAGTACCGTAAAGTAGATAGATATACATCGAGTGAACGTTTTCAATCGAATTACAACAATTAAGATAAGCATTTAGAAAAATTATAATTCAATTATCATCATCCACAAATTCATTTAACAAATCGCCATTTATTAATTGTATTTATATAATATGTATGGATGAATAGCATAATTTAACATTACATATTATAATTATTCTGGCTTAATAATTAATCTATTTCTGAAGATACAACGTAATGTGCTTAACAAACGTACACGTTTTAACATTTCTAAGCTCAACGTTCCATTCAAGTTCGATGGTGTTAAATTGGATCAACAATTCATTTCATCAAACACCACTGACTAACGACATTGAAAGCAAACATCCTTTTATTTTACGACCACGTAGTCTTGTAATTTCTGACTAAATAGACAGTTATCCTACAATAAGCACGTATTTGTATCTTGCACGGACTAGAGCAACTATATTAATCAAAACTCCAAAAAGAAAAAAAAGGGCGTCCCATGATAATACTAACAATTGACACAAGCTTACGTATTATCTCGCCAAGATTCCGTTAAGTTAATGCGTATTAAAAATACGCGGCGTCAACCATAATGTAGAAACGAATAAAAGTGGGTCAGTTAAGCTCGAAATATACTTTTTCCTGAGCATTAAAATTCATTGCGACGGAACACCAAAAATTCGCAGCCGCGTTTCGGAAATATCTGCGAGCCTCGGTGCCGATGCTATGCGATCAAAACTGTACTAAACCATTAATATGTAATAGTTAGGAGACATTTTCTATATTGTGTATTTACAAACTAAATATATTAGATGCGACATTCAATGAAGTATAAATAGTTCGTTATTAATTATTATATCATAATTATAGTTCGTTAGTGTTAATGTTTTTTCTTTTTTTATTAAGAGAGACTTATATTTATAAGCAACATATTCAAGTTAAGTCAATATTAGTTTGTAAAAGAAATAAAATGACAGAAAACGTCCAATATACTCATTAGAAACGCGAAACTCTGCAAATTTAATGTATTTATATCTGCATTAATGAATATATTGTTACAATAATTAAAGTATATTTGAATATTGATAGTAAAAGAAATAACGAATTAATTCTAACTTACCAACAGACTACACTCGATTTAGCGATTTAGTTATATAAGATTTAAGGTTTCAATATAGTGTTCTTTACATTTACACTGTAAAAGAAATTGAACCAATAATCATACTTTCTTCTATGAAGAGAATACAGTTGAACATTAAATTGCTAATTAATAAAAATCTCTTCAACGTATATATTTGTTGTATTTATTCGTCTACATTCTTTTACAATATTGTCTGTGTATTGAAAGATTTTCCTTATTTTTCAAATTGGATAGTCATTCGCGTAGAATGTAAATGGAATTGTTATAATATTAGTAATATGTTTAAAGCTCGAAATTAGAAACCTTGTTTTTCTTTTGCACAAATAACCACATTACTTGATATTTAAACTGTAGAAAACTTTTACTTATTTATTTTCATTATTATTATAATACTTATAATCGACCAATAATCGAATAAACTATATTGAATAAGCCGTAACGCTGTATTCACACTGGAAAAATATATTCTTTCCTTATCTTATAAAAATTGAGATTCACCATGCGTTGGTTGAATTGTTTCTTTGAATATTACGAGAGTATTTTAGGCATTTGCATTTACAAAAGCGAAGTTAAAACAACAAAAGAAGCACACACAAAATAATTGAAGTAAACGAAAGAAAAGGAGAAGGTCTCGATGTTTCAATAGAAATAGGCAAAGGAATACAGAGTTGGATTGTGTGTAGCCGTCACAAGTTAAATTGAAAAGGAATGCACACGCATACACAAATAAGAATGTAGAAATAAAAATGGGAAAAAGTATGAATTAACGTCTAATTGAGAATAAATAAACGAGCGAGGTTATGGTAAGTATATCTGAAAAATTACACGCGCAATTAAATGCTTGTACACGTAAATTATTTATTAGACATGATATCACTTCGCATTGGTATTGTAAATTTCATTAGTTTTTAATTAATGAACAACCCGATTTTATGCCCCTGTGATATTTATTCAGTCTTTAAATGTCAAAAAATCATTAGGAGTTTTGCATAGGCATTCGGAATAAGTAATTTTATGATGGATAATATAACAAAAATGTATATTAAAACGTATTGTAAATTTTTACGTTTATACAATACTATTATAATATTAGCAAATCGTGCTAAGAGAAGTACGTCAAAAACAAACTCATATGCAAAGATTAAATATTAAATCAACTAATAACAAGTATCATCATAAATTGTAAACAAACGATAATAATCAAAGTTTAAAAAGCACAATTGCGCCATAATTTTATAAAAAGAATATACGTACGTAATAACTGCGCAATAATTGATCATCTGTCAAATTCACGTTAAAGAATCGTATCATAAAGGATATATTGGTATCCTAATGACTTGGAATAAAATTTAAAATTTAAAAATACAAATTAAATTTTTGTCTACAATAGCTTTTTATATTTAAATCTTTTTTTTAACTTACGCATATTGAATTTACAACTATATGGAATATTTTAAGTCGTAGGAGTTATAACGCTTGTTAGATTAAGAAAAATTGTGAATAATTATTTGCAATTTTTATACGTGAAGAGTATGGCAAACTAGCTTATACTCAAATATGTTGTCAATTAATCGATATATTTATTTAATGTGCTAAGATTGCAAAATTGATATATTAAATAAAACTAATGAGTTTCGAGGCTACAGAATAAATTCATGGTAATTATATTAATAAACCTATATCCAATTAACTTATCTGCTATCTCTTAAACATATATATTACATTTTATCTTATATATTATGAAAATATAAATTAGGATGGCTAAAATTTGTGTTGTATATTAACTTAATGATTATTGCAAGCCAATTTGTTTTAATTATAATCACAATATTTTATTTTCATCTGAATAGTGTGAATGTGTGTTATGAAAAGAAAAAAAAAATTTTAATATCACATATTATAATTATTATTTGCATAAATATTAACTAATAGATTCATGAGCAATTAAAACTTTCAGTAATTTCATAAAGTTACTGCAATATAGCTTGACTAGAATAAAACTAACATATTATTTAGCAAATAAAAATATAAAATATATATTTATCTTTAACTATTAAATCATTATTGGATATACATATACAATACATATCCATGGATTAATTATTTTCAATAAACTTTGCCTAAACTTATACAAAAATTGTTTAATGAAATGCATTTTTTTATCTTTGAAACATAGAAATAAAATTAAATATTTGTAAGAAAAGTTTTCGGTTTCATTAATTTTTTATGTATTCAAGATTTGCATTAAAAAAATAAAGATTATATACGTATGTTAGTCTTGTTTAATTACTACACACTTATATGCAATAGTCTAGTTTTGAAATTTATTCTTTAAAAGGAAAGAATTTTTACAGAATCACATATTTTTGTCAATTTAAAAACCAAAGAAAGTAATAAGAAAAACTTATATTTAATTTGCATTAGTCTATGTAAATTGAAGTATTTTTGAGTACGATATACCCTACGCAATTTTTTACTCTATTTTATGCAATAAATTTTACCCATTGAAAATCTTTTATCAGCAAAAGCAATATTGTTTTTGTACAAACGAGAAAAAATTATACGATAATAAAGCAAATTGCCGATTTCGTATTGTTCTTCTATGCAGAGGCAGTGCAACTGCTTCGTATAATTTAGTATCAATTGCTTCTAAATGCCATACTAACTTATTCACAACCAATTGAGAATGGAAAAACTACACGACTTTGAAATTTAAGCTTTACAATTATTAATTTCAAAATCTTATAATTATAAAAGAAATTACGTTAAATGCCGTACTTTGCATTATCAGTTTATTCATTTCGATTAGATGAAGAATCGATTTACACGTTAACAAAAAACTGAAACTTTTGAAATTTTACTCCATTTAAGTTGAACTACTACATTTATTACGTGTATATATGAAATTATTCGAGTCTTGAAGTTTAATCATTCGGCAACTTTTTAGCACAAGTTCGTAATTTTGTATGAATTTCATTTAATATAAAATGAGCAAGTGATTTTTCCTACAAATCCCTAAAAATCATAAATTATATATTTTGACGAGCTAAATACGTATTGCATTGAAATCTATCTGATCTATTTAAAATTAAATGTTGTACAAAGTTGAGTAACATAACATTCTTAAAGAGCTTATTGAGACTCTCCTCCAATAACACCGTAGACTAAATATTCAATCGATGGTTTTTTAAACTTAGAGGTATGATTTTCGATAGAATTGGCTTAATTTGCTTAACGCTTCCGATATGTCGTCATGGTAATCCTTTATTTAGTCTTTGTACGACCAATTCAGCTTGTTCCAACCCAAATACGTCAGCACTACTCACAGACATCGCCTAATTTTTAAAATATCACAAAAATAATCGCACAACGTGCTATGGCCCAACAAACACCGGATAGGTGCCAGGATCATGATTATACCGATCAATCGAACAGGCGTAGGCACGCGAACGTTCGCCTGGAAAGTTCGGATCGCCGCCAACATGTGGGGGCAGAGACGAAGAGGGGAAACCTTCAGGAGGACAGGGCGTACGAATGAAAAAGAAAGAAGAAAAAAGAGGGAAAAAAGAGAAAAAGCCTCTTTGGGGCGGAAGAAAAGTGCAACGAACTCCGGAAGACTCACCCCGATCAACGACTGGGGGTGAATTTGTTTACTCTTTCGTCGTCGTAGGCAGTGGAAAGGCAGCAACTACGCAATTATTCAAACGTACATGAACGATGGTTCGATTGTCTGGTTGGCCAGTCGGTCGAGTCATGGGTTAATACATAACAATGCCTATTTTAAGAGACAAGCGCGTATACATGAATAGAACAGGACTTATAATTCGCCTGGAGTCTCGCGTCTATCTTTCGGCTGTATATCGAATTTCTTCAATTCTATTCTTTCGCGGCGTATGAATACTAGTCTCCCAACACACGCAAACGCACACACGCGCTAACGCACGCACGCACGAACGCACGCCCCATCCCACGCTCTTTCTCATTTGCTCAGCTTATATACATGTGGATGCTCTACGTATATGGAAGAAAGGTAGAAAAGGCGAGAGAAACTAACCTTCAAAACCTGGCTCCTGCGAAAGCTGAGCTCGTCCTCGGCGGTCGCGGTGAAATCGTGCTTAGCAATCGCTTCCATTCTTCCTAGTCAGCCTCTTCCGCTCTCTTCGGTAAACTGTCGCTCGGAAAATCCCTTTTTTGTAGGTTAGGTTGCGCCTCGCTTGACAATCGATCCACAGATCTTCAACAAAGAGGATTCCGGGACCGCGTTTTTGCCTGCCTCTCCTGCTTCTTGCTCGCGGCGCTAGAAACAAACGGTGGAGATGCGCGAGACGTAAAGAAGATGGGAAAAACACTCGCGCGACGACGACGACGACGTCGTCCACCGAGGAGGACGGAGCGGTGGTGCCCCCTGTTCCTTAACCTAGAATACACGACGACGAGGAAAAAGAATAAAGCGCTCGTCCAGCTCGGTTTTTCTTTTTTCCTCTCTCCGAACGCGCGTCGCGTATGCGTAGCAACGACGCCGTCGATCGTTCAGAGCCCCGGTTACAGGCGCGGCCAGCGACTCCTGGGCCGATCGTGGGAGGGGGAGGATGGGTGGTGGCGACGTCGCCCTCTCTTTGGAATAATATTCTTCCCCGCACTTCTTACACAGGCGCTCCGTAGATCCGGGGTATTATCGGAGCGGACCTTTATATTGACAATCGTTCCTCCTCCTCCTCCACCTCTTCCTCCCCCGACGCCCCAACCCCCGCCCCGCAAGTCCTTTCAGCGATCGTCCACACGCCCGCCAGACACGTCGATACACGCACACGCGCCACTTCTTTCTTTCGTCCGTACTGCCGCCTTACGACGCGATGAATTCCCAGTCGCCGAGATCACGTCAGCGCAGACAGACGGCCTCCCCGACGAGCCCGCTTATCCCGTCCTTTATCCGCGCGCCTCTTTTATTGGTTATGTCACCTCCGGAGACGGGCTTTTCCCAAATTTCCAGGGAACGCCTATCCAAACGCGCCCGTTTGTACGCGCTCGACTTGGTGACGGTGGCGCAGAACGCGAATGATACTCCCCCGGATTTATTATTTACGCGCACTCGCGGCCACAATCCATCGTCCGTCTTATCATCCGTTACACTCGCTCTTACGCTCTTGAGCTCTGCGCTCTGCTGCTCCGGCTGCTACACTTTATGCTCCTCTCTCGCTCTCGCGGCTTTTCCTCCCCCACCATTCGACGACACTACTAAACGCACCTACACGTAGTTGCGTAGTGACGCGGCGCTTACCGGATTCTGACGCTCCTCGAGTAAAAAGAAACGGTGAGAGGTGGCTCCGGCTGCCGACGATACTGACCGTCAGAAATCTCGATTACTCCCTCTCCTCCCTAGATCCCAACCAACCCGCCGTCCCTCTCTAACCATCTCTATCCTCACACACACTCGAGTGAGCCCGCGCGTATGTCCTTTCTCCTCCGAGTATACGCGTAACGTGACGGTCAGCAGTGTATTGTGTAGATCATAGAGAGATGTATCTCGCAGGTATTCAAGAGTTGTGCCCTTATGTTTTACGTTTCTTAATCAGCATCATCATCGTCGTCGTCGTCGTCATCATCGTCATCATCATCATCATCATCGTCTCTCATTACCGTATTCATCTTCTCTAGTTTATAGATGCCCGAAGGCTGGCATTCGTTCTAACTTGTTACTGCCGAGTAAAACATGAGTATTGCCGCACGTTAACTTAATGAAGACAGCTAATCGAAAAGATTGTTAAATTAGCGCAATGTTCGATAATTTGCGAATTACATTTCACTGCCCGATCTTGCTGTTCGCTTTTGAAAGCGCAAGTTGCGCTTCAACTCACTGAGGTGGGCCAGTCAACCATTCAAGGATTCACGCATCCCAATGTTAACGCAAACCATTACGCTTCCACGAGTAATACGAATCGTTGCGACTCCATAGCACTCATTACCAACAGTCCTTCAACAATGCAAATTCTTAAGCTACCTGCCGCTGACCTAAGAATGCGAGGGTGAGGGGATGCCGGTCGCGACGATTCTCGAAATTTTCGAGCAAGACCGCCCAAAATCGTCGAAGCGCGAGCTATCGGTCGCTCATAGGCCCGGCGCATGCGCTTGGCATGCTCGCTCGGAGTTTGACGCTCAACGGCGACTCCTCGACGCGACCTGAGGCGAGCGCCGCCGACCTCGACGTCTTGACGTCGGAGGACGGACGGGGGAGGAGTGTAGGCCTTTCTTAGATGTCCGAGCTCTTTCCCGCCGTGACCGGGGCTTCTTCAGCCGACGTTACCTCTATTTCCTTACATTCTTTATCATTCGAGATTATTTTATGAAGTAACGGACCCTCGGATTGGTCCGCGAGTAGGTGGATGGATTCCTGTGTGCGTACTCACCGCGCACTCCATCTTTCCATGGTCTTTCATCGTGCTTTCATGAATTGTCTCGCATTCGAGCTTAATGTCGTAACGAGTGCATCAGGAGCAACGGTGCAATTGCGCAAATCGGGAAGAATATCAGCTTAGCGAGAAATTCGACCTTAAATACTGGCTGTTTATGTGGCTGCCTTAGGGTAAAGGTAACAAACAAATGCTTCCTTAGCTTGACGATTCATCACTAAGCTTAAATAAAGAGATCCTCCGAGGTAACTGATAATTGCAAAGAAAATGTGCTTAAAAGCTCAGAAACATTTTTTTGAAACTAGAAAACTTGAAATCGATGGTATAATAAAATAATATTTGCAATTATCACTATGACGCACTCGAATACCTGGCTGATGTGATTGATTATTTTGAAAACATTATTTTGTGTGGTGCTTACGTGCTCCAATTTGATTATTCGTGTAGAATTAATTTCTTTAGTTTTACGTTAAAAAATAGGGAAAATAAACATTTCAACAAAAACAAAAAACATAATATTAATTTTACAGATGAACAGAAATAAACGTTGCTACTGTTTCCTTCTATTTATAAAGTAACCCAAACAGGGAGTAAATGTTTTGGCGGTTGAATACAAAAATTGCATACATTTGTTATCTTAAAATGTGTATTTATAAAGTTTCAACTATTATGTATTTGTTAATCAGACTTCCTAATAATATAATACAAATCATTCATTTACAAGATATATTAAATTATTGGGAATATAATTTGCAATTTGCTTCGCAGAATTGAATTTCTTTCAACTAAACACATTACACCAAATATTCAAGCATATAATTTATTATCGTTGTAAAGATGCAAACGAATCTAATTTAATAATTCATACAATTTCAACTTTTACAATGAAATTACACATTAGTACGTGTATTTTTATTTTGGTAAGTTGAAAACGAACGATATATTTCAAATAGAACAGTTTTCCGTGAGTCGGCTTGTAATCCATTTGCTTTCAAAATAAATCGAACATTTATCTTCCTATTAATCGGAACAATTTAATATTTTACATAAACTCCAACTCATAATATACATAAATAATACATATTAAGACATTTTTACCAAAATCTCACGCAAGAATTGAAAGTCGTTAATAATCGTGGAACGAGACCTTAATCAATATTCAATGTTTGATTGCACTGTTGCAAATCTCACCTAATGTAATGTAACTCGTTGTAATTATTATCCGGACGTAGGAAAATAATACGTATTTGACAAAGATGCTGATATAAAAAGTAAATATATAATAAAGAAAAAAGCGACGATAATGTAGTTTTGTATAACGAGCGCAACCTTTGAACAAACTACCTGATAATATTTCAATGCGTTATTATTGACATACAATCTAATTGAAATATTATCACGCGCAATGTATTTCGTCTGTCATATTTTTCAATTCTAACGTTGTTCGTTATTATTTAAGAATGCTATACAAGATATTTATAGCATTACTCAACCAAAATATCTTTTTACATTATTTAAAATTTACCAAAGCTTATGCGTTACGTAATAACTACATATTAATTTCAATGCAATTAGGTAGTGCTAATATTTCTTAAAAAGATCAGTGATTTAAAAAAATCTATTATTAAAATTAAGTGAAATCCTTGCAGAATATTATGAATTTTCGAAAGTCGATTGCTTTTATCAAAACCGTCGGAAATTATTGCTGAGCGTCTCATTATTACCGGATACATAAAATGAATAATATACTTATATTTGTTTCTCAAATCGTCTGTTCGTTTATTTACAATATTTAATTCTAATCTAGAAACACCTTCCACGTACAGTCGTAACAATTGGAGAACAAGTTTAATCCGCTAGAAACGCTCTAGTTTCCGTCGGAAATGACGAAATTTCAAGATTATTATATTCTCATCGGCACAAGTGACCATTGATATCTGAATTAATTTCGCGAAAAACAATGTTCTGGGCCGGAAATATATCAATACTTGAATCATTGTTCATACACGAGATTTGTATATATTGACATTTACTTTTGATTAAAATCCGGAACATCATTAGTAACATCCTTTAATCTGTGTGTGAAGCTAAGCACAAGTATTTGTATAATCCGTAATATACGACACGGTAAGCTTAATTTTACGCTAAATCGTACATAAACTACATGTGCACCCAAGAATAATATCAAATTAAAATTAAAAACAGGAAACGCTGAGCCAAAAAAAGGAAAATGACATCGTTACTTTGGTAAACGTAGTTTTGGTAGACGCTCATTTCCAGCCTATTCATAATATACTTCGTTTCTTTACAAGACTCATCAAAAGATATTCTCAAGATGAGTGGGAGATTAAACGCAAGCGGTCGATGGTCCATCGTTGGGGGAATCTTATGCTCTCGATCCTTTACGAGATAGAGGGTCCGAAAAAGGAAATGTTTCCACCCGCTTCTCAGTCGAGGCTCTTTGTGTGTTGGGACCTATGATTTTTGCGCGTGACCGGTTTAGATATTCCTTGCTTCTTCTAGTTTAAAGTAGGCAAAGATCTTATAGATCAAGCTTCTTTTGTCAAGCGTTCATTAATTACCATCGATGGATATTTATAAGCTTCTCCAAGGTCGACGGCGCGAGCGATCTATTATTCACGTGTATACGTAAATTTTAAATAAATTTTATTATTAGGATAGAAAGATATATATCTTAGATTTGATATTTTAATCAAATTTTTCTAAATATTATTTCACAAGACTTTAGGATAGGGAATTTAAAAATTGAAGTATAATTACGAATATTAAAAAAATGTTAAAGGATGACTTCCTACTGTCCATTATTACGAAGGCGTAAATTCACTTATAGCATAGGTGAAAAAATGGTTCTCCGGTTTAACGAAAATGAGAATATCAAAGCTAATTAACTAATGTTTCGTAAGCTATATTAATTATTGATTATTATTAATTAATTAATTCTTTTTCTTAAGTATTTACAAAATCTTATAAGTTTTATTAAAAGTACGCTATATCCTTATATCTTTAAAGATAATTCTTAACGTATAAATATATTTTACAATTTTATTTTAATATTATCCGATAGTCTTAAAATTCATTATAAAAAAAGAAAGATATTACCCAATAGAAATTATGTGTGAAAAATTTAACTGAAATTTCACTCTACTATATTCGGTGCCTCCATAATTATTTTCCATTATAACATAGTAGTAGCGCTACAATTATGTTTCGATTTATTCCAATGAATTATTAACAGCATCAGAAGCACAAAATGTACAGCAAAATAATTATAAATTCGTAATTCAAATAATTTCGTCCAATAATCTAAGCATTTCGAAAACCATTCTAAAGTAACATAAGGCATCTTTCTTATAACTTATATAACGAATACTTACACTTGATCCGGGATTTATTTGGAGTGGCACTTAGGAATCACGCGTACGGCAGAGTATTATTCGGTCAGATTAAGTACAAAGTAACTTTAGCTGTGCTCCAGTTTCGTCAAAGCTCGTAGGATCATT